GTTGCAAAATTCCGTTGCATTACGTTGCAACAAGAATTCCGTAGCAGGAGTTAGCAATGTCATTTCCATTGCAAATTCCCGTTGCAAATACTTGCAACGACAATTTCTGTTGCAATTTTCCGATGCAATGCTAATGCAACGGAATATCCGTTGCAAAAAGGAATCTGCAACAATGGTTTTTGCAACGGCAAATTTGCAACAAAATTGTCATTGCAATTGTCCATTAGCAACGGAATACGATGAATATTGCAACGGATTTGGCCGTTGCAATTCAGACCATTTCTTGTAGTGAAATTAGATTTTGGGAACGTATTCGTTCCCGTAATCGGGTGTGAGTTGGAACGATGGGGTAGAAAATTGGCTCGGTTGAAACCAATTTGGGTAATTATACGTATGGTTTGTCGGTGAATTGTGGGAACTTGGATTACTTGGGTCGATTTTGGGTCGATAGCAGTTGATAAAAACATAAGGATATGGAAAATTTGGGTGATAGAGATCCATGATAATAAAAAAATTAAAATTGAAGATGAGAGAAACAGGATGAATATGTGAATAAGAGAAGAAGAAGATGTGTGAGGAAAAAGAAAATTATGAGTAGATTTATAGGAAGAAAAAAAAATTTAATAAAATCCAACAGACCAAAATATGGCTGTTGACAACGTTCAATGCCAGAAACGAGGTGGGCAACACCTGTGGTTGCCTTCAAGCCACATCCATCACGCCGCCTATGTCACGGTGTCATGCCGTGACGGGGCGTGACCGGCGATACCACGGCATAGGTGAAACCCCATAACACATTGTCTATTTATGATAAATGTACAATAATATTATATATCTAAATTTATGACATACTAGCTCAAATACGAACAATGATGAATTCTTTTTAACCAGAATTAGAACTTTCGAACATATGTATTTGGTCAATCATTAATTGAGTGACTTTTTTACATTTTAATTCTTCTAACATTTTCTAACTTCTTCCCATTTTTTCCAACATTTTCCAATTTCTTCGAACTCCTTTAAGTTTTTTTCCAAAATCCAACTCTAAAATTTCAACCTAAAAGAACAGAGTCTTACAGCGTAGCTTCTTGGAAAGAAGCTACAAATATTTGGTGTTTTGTCCGTTGGTGTGTGTGTGTCACTCACTGAGTTGTAAACGAACCGAATCGAATCGAATATTCATGAAAAATATTCATATTCGTTAAGATGGAGTGATATTCGAATTCAAATTCGAATTCGGTTCGAATATTTTTTAAGATTCGTATTCGGTTCGTTTAATATATTAAACATATTCAGTTCGTTTAAATATTCGATTCGTTTAAATATATTCGGTTCGTTTAAAAGTATTCAGTTCATTTAGATTTTAAAATATTTTATAACCATTTGATATATATATATATATATATATATATATGTATGTATGTATGTATGTATATATGTATGCATATATATATGTATATATGTATGTATATATACATACATACATACATATATGTGTGTGTGTGTATACACATATACATACACATACACATATACATATACATATACATATACATATACATATACATATACATATACATATACATATACATATACATATACATATACATATACATATACATATACATATACATATACATATACATATACATATACATATACATATACATATACATATACATATACATATACATATACATATACATATACATACATACATACATACATACATACATA